CTTGTTCACCTTGATGGCCACCACCTTGTCATTCTTCTTCTTTTTCAAGAGATAAGGTGTGGAGGCCTTCTTGTCCACCTTGTTGGTGTAGGTGTTGGAGAGCTTGCTTGTTTGCTTTTTGTTTTTCTCTTTCTTCTTTGCTCCGCCCCCATTCTTCACCTTGCACTCATAGGACTTGTGACCTTCCTTGTGGCACACGTAGCAAACCATGGTTTGTCCTTCATCAAGCTTCTTCACTCTCTTGACGGTGTTATCTTGATGAAGTTGGGCTTGCTTTGCCTTGCCTTTCACTTGAGTCAAGTCCTTGGTGAGGCGAGCTACTTCTTGCTTGAGTTGCTTATTCTCTTTTGCAACCTCTTGTGTGCATGTATCTACAACAACTTTCTCAACACAAACTTGATTGCACAAGGATGAGTCTAAACATAAATCATTACAAGAAGTAGAGGCATCCTTTTTAGACATGTTAAAGATAAAGCTTTTCTTTTTAGATGTCTTGGTGGGGGTTGAACTAACGGCTTCAAGATTAGCAACTTTATTAGTTAGCTCATCACAATGTTTGCATATGGTTTCCATTTTAACAAGCAAACTTTTATAAGCATCTTGAGAGCTAGCTAACTTTTCTTTTAATTTTTAATTTTTCTTTACAAGTTGCTCATCATTGATTGTACATGTATTTGTTGTTGCACTAGCCTTAAGTTGCTCAATTTTAGTAGATAGTTCAACATTGAGATTAGAAAGTTCTCATATTGTTCAAGCAAAGTTTTGTATGCTTCTTGTGAACTAATTAGCTTTTCTTTTAATTTTTCGAGCTTCTTTTGTTAACTAGTGCAAACTTTAGCATAATTAAGATTTTGTTGCACAATTTCATCATAAGAAGGCATTTCATCATCACTATCACTCTCACTAGAGGATGAGCTTTTGTTACCTCGTGTCATAAGGCACATACGAGAAGAGCTTGATGATGAGTGCTTGCGCCCTCGCCTCTTGTGATGGTGTTTTTCTTCACTTGAAGAATCATCCCATGACCTTATTGATGTGAGGGCTTGGTTCTTGCATGCCTTCTTCTTTGTCTTGGGTGTGGGCTTGTTTGGACAAACTTCCACAAAGTGCCCCAACTCGCCGCATCCATAGCATCCTCTCTTTCTTTGCTCATTTCTTTGATTGGTAAAAATGAGATCTTGAATTTGGATGGGCACACCCTTGACATTGAGCCTTTGGATCATCTTCTCCACCTTGTTGATAAGTTTGATTGATTCTTCATCAAGGTTGGAGGTGGAGGAGGAAGATTGATCATCATCATCTTCTTCTTCACTTGAGGAGCTTGAGCTTGAGCTTATCTCAACTTGCTTGCCCTTCATCTTTTTTTTCTCGCTACATGCGAGAGCTTTGCCTTTGCTCGATGAAGAGGCTTTGTCTTGACCCATCTTACGTGACATTTCAAATGCCACTAACTTGCCAATGACTATGCCTGAGGTCATGGTACTCAAGTTCTCCATGTTGTGAAGGATGGTGATGATGCTTGCATATTTCTTTTGTGGGAGCACGGAGATGATCTACCTCACGATGTCCGTATCATCTAGCTTTGTTAGTCCTATTGAATGGAGCTCATTGATAATTAGATTCAAACGAGAATACATATCACGAACAAGCTCATCATTATTCATAGTAAAGGAATCATAATTTTGTTTAGCTAGACAATGTTTTTGCTCACGGACATTTGATGTGCCATCATGGAGCTCTTGAAGTTTTAACCAAATTTCATGTGCCGTATTTAAAGTGAACACTTAGTTAAACACATCCATACTAAATGATTCAAACAAGCAATTTTTAGCTCTAGCATTGAAATGAATTTCCTTTTCTTCACTCTTTGTGGGTTTATCGAGATTCTTAATGGGTTTCATCCCATCACGAGTGACTCATCAAACTCCCAAATCAACCGCCTCAAGATAGCAAGTCATTCTAGCTTTATAATAGGGGAAGTTAGTGCCGTCAAAGTGCGGAGGCCTAGAGGTATCTATCCCAACCACTAAATAGCGTCGGCTCAACGGCGGTTAAGCCAAAGGTTCAAATTGAGCCACAAAACCTATGCAAAAGATAAACTATCTAAATGTGCAACTACGGTTTTGCTAGTGTGTTGCTATCTCTACCGCAAAAAGAGTAATACAATCAATGTAAATGCGGAAGTTAAAGAACAAGGTAGAGATATGCAAACTCCCGTCGATGACTCCGGTATTTTTACCGAGGTATCGAGAAGCACGCAAGCTTCCCCCTAGTCCTCGTTGGAGCCCCTCGCAAGGAATCCCTCACAAGGGCCAAGCTCCTGGTCGGGTAACTCCGTGGATAGCCTCGGGCCTTCCCCACGCGGAAGTGGGTCTCCGACGTGCCTTCCTGCAAGCCTCTCCCAGATGCTCCCCGCCGTCTTCACTATCAAGCTTCTGGCCGAAATGTCGTGGGCCTTGTTCCCTCTGGTATACGGTGGCGGCCACACCACAAACGTGGTTGGTGTGATCTCACAAGACTACAAGCCCCTCCGATGTACAACAATGGTGCGCGCAAGCACGGAGTGGTAAGAGGTATGCAAACCTCATTAAACACTAGGCCTAAACCTAGAGCAAGCGCATAAGCGGTGGTCTAATCAACCTAAACACTTCGCAAAAGCACCTATGCTAATCACCTAATGAAACCCTAAGCACTATGCAAGTGGAGATCACTAAAATGGTGTATCAACACCCTTGATATGTTTCCTCAGCTCCACACACCTCATTTGGCTGGTTGGGGGTTGTATTTATAAGCCCCACTGAGAAAGTAGCCGTTGGGTACAAAATCCTGCTTTTCTGCTATTGACCGGATGCTGATCACGTCCTGACCGGACGCGTCCGGTCGTCCTGACCGTTAGAGCCGTGATCAACTGATCGGACGCTGCCAGCGTCCGGTCACATGCCATCGGACGCGTCCGGTCGCAATATCGCTGCTCTGGAACCTCTCTGTACTCGATCGGACGCTGTTGTCCTGCGTCCGGTCGATTTGCCGCCAGCGTCCGGTCCAGCGTCCGGTCGCTGCTGCTGATGCCTGTTTGCCGAGCCTCTTGATCGGAGTGTCCGATCACTTTCCTCCAGCGTCCGGTCCAGCGTCCGGTCACATCTGTGAGCTCGTTTCCTCGCGATCTTGCGTATGGCTTGGTTTCTATCTTTGTGCTTGGACTTTGCTTGATATCTTGGGTTTTCTCTTGTGCTCCTAAGGTCTTGCTTGAGGTGTTGATCATCGGATCATCACGTCGCCTTTGTCCAAGTCACGTCTTGTATCCTATTGAACTACAAAACAATCACTTGCAAATTTATTAGTCCAATTTGATTGTGTTGGCCATCAAGCACCAAAATCCAAAGTAAATGGGCCTAGGGTCCATTTTCCTTACAGAGCCCATGATACCAGCGGCCACGAAGGGGTCCCCGCTGGCCTCGTAGTAGGTGGAGTCCATCTGGTCGATGGTAGCGACGGCACGGCTGCCTCCGGTGAATTCCACACGCCGGTGAGCCTCCATTTCGCAAGCAACAAGGAGATGTTTTTAATGTGCTGAAAATGCATATTGCAAGCATATGTTTCACGTGTTTCGGGTGTTTCAGAGGTATGTTGCAATTATTTTACACGAATGTTGCAAAAGTAGATCAGAATGTTGCATATGTTGCAATAGTTGTACACATTTGTTGCAAATGTCTGTTCCCAATGTTTCATCTGTGTTTTTGGACGTATGTTGTAAGTGTGTTTTATCTGGATGTTGCATACGTTTCACACATATGCTACAAGTGTTTTATCTGGATATTGCATATGTTTACAATGGTTTTCAAGTGTTTTTCATGTGTGTTTGCAAGTGTTTCAAAAGCATGTTTCAAGTGTTTTATTTGTCTTCAGACATATGTTGCATCTAGATGTTTCAAAAATAAATCGGTTGTTGTCGTCCCTGTGCTAGAATTGCTGGTCTGAGTTATGCTGTGCACAAGTCCAAAACTCGATGTGGCCATGTGGATTCCAAAGCTGAGGTCACGACACATGAGTAATGGCCGTGGTGGTGTATTTGACAACCAAAGCAACATCCCTATTTCACATTGTGACAAACTGGTGATTTGTAACCTGCGTATGCGCGTTTCTAATGAGAAAATTCACAATGAAACTTCTCTACCCTACTTAGCACCTAAAGTTCAAATTTTCTCTATTTGTTCACTTTTATTTAAAAACGTTGCTCCCCCTTTATTTGGATATGTAACTGTATTTTTTATACTAATATGTAACGGTGTTAACTCTAAGGGAAAAAAGACAATTTTGCTTCATTATTTTTCTATTACGGTTCTTTTTGTCAGTCCAGGCTAGTTTAGCGCACATTTTGTTGTGTTAGTACCATTTTTTTTAGTTCTCATATTTTTTATCGTTCCATTTACTGGCTAACAACAGACTATACAGAATACAACATGAGATCTCCAAGAACATATCTAGACACTTAAGATTCAAATGCACCATGACAATAAACCAAACAAATTTGAGAGCAAATCCAGGTTCACATCCACACATGAACAGTACCATCCAACTGGTTCACATAAGAGATCTCTTCACATAAATACAAGACACAATTTGCAAACAAGTTCACATCTAGTACAAAGCATTTAGTCCCTCCGTCCCCCCAAAAAACCCGCAATCTTCAAATTTTATCCCAAAATAAATGCACACAGAGTGCCAGGCCTGCATCTCAGAGCGTTGGACCCATCTAGAGTAAGAGCAGCGCAATGCATCTTCCACTCTTGATTCGTGTCCGGTAGACAAGAAGCTACCACACGCAAAATAAAAAAAGAGCTACCACAACCCTTATGAACGAACATGGTTTCCACATAGAGGCTAACATCCAGTGGGAACAGGTCAACAGGATCCTGTTACTTATGTGCAATCATGGCCGTCTGATTAGCATATCTATGAATTTCAGGATTCCTGTTTAGTATGAGTTGAAGCTGCTGTTCATGGCCTGGCTGGTTCTTCCAAACTTCAGGGGAGCAGCATTCATCTACAACAGGTTTGTGAGGGAGCAGGTGAAAAAGCATACTGCCATACAGGCTGCAGGTGCTGGCAGCACTAGCAACAACAACGTTATTATTAGTGCTAACGAAGATGACAAGATCCTTTCTACTTCTCCAAAAGAGAAGAAGTCCAAGAGGAAGCTACTTTCGATGATCATTCCAAAGAAGCTCAAGTTTTGATCAAATGCACTTGTAAAAAGGAACTTTTAGTCCGTTTTATGTGTTATATTGTTTTATATATGATATCATATCTTATCTGACACCTAGGACAAGTGCTTTTTTTGCTGTTTCCTTTTGATGTTCTTTACAAAAAAGGCTGCATCATGTATAACCATTTTGCGCATTTGTAAATAAATGGCCGTTGACAGTTATTTTTTCCTTTTGCAAAGACTTTGAAATTAATTTGGCTACGCTGAGGTACAAGTGGGTCCACAACCTGCAGAAACAACAGAGTACTCCGTCCGTCCCAAAATAAGTGACGTTTTTTTTACTTTTAGACATCTTGTTTGACCGTTTGTTTTATTCAAATTTTTTATGTAAATTATGAAATAAATAAATCATTATTAAAGTGTCTCTAATAATAAAATAAGTCATAACAAAACAGATTATGTTTATAAAAAAATGAATAAAACGAACGGTCAAACAAGATATCTGAAAATAAAAAACGTCACTTATTTTGGGAAGGAGGGAGTACATAATACCTTGTCGGTTGTCACGCCGTTGGTTTCATCGTCAGCTTCTGTTCACAAATTTCAACATTTCTTTTTCAATATTTCTTCTCAAGATGGACATAGTCTGCTTAGATTTTTTTTTTATCTCCGAAGAGAAAGAAAATGATGGGAAAACACTTTGGTTGGACAGAAACAGAACTGAATGATTGTACTAGTGGCCCATTAACACTGTATTTGGTTGAAGGCCCATGCTTTAGACCCAGTAGCAAAGTCATATGGTGGCCCATTAAGAGCAACTCCAGATTGACTAAAAGCAACCTACTTTCCCTATAACAAGCAATAAAGAGGATTATTAAGATAATAAAAAACATGCTATAGCAAATCCCTTTTCCTAAAATATTTTTTTAATCCCTAATAATCATGCCTGTCTTCCTCAAACAAAGGGAAACAAGCAATAATTTTTCTCAATTCCCTTTCTTTCTTCCTCTTTCATTGACATCTCGGGTCCACATTGCCAAACCATCATCACAAGCGCCGTGCCGCTGCCACTAAGCCATCGTGTCCTGTGCCCCACACCGTGCCGCTCCTCCCCATGCCATGCATGCCGCAGACCTGCTCGATCTAACCCAATTCAAGTGCTCTCGGCACCAACATGACGCTAAGCACACCTTGAAGCAAGCCTAACCCGGTAATGCATCGAGTCACCACATGAAAAGACTCGATGTTATGACATTTATAGACTGAACGATGATCATGGGTCACACCCATCGTTACAACAATTTTATAATGAAATTATATAATGCATAGCTATGTTCTAATAGAAGTTATTATACACCAGAGTTCAGAGTTTTTTTTTGCACTAGATATCAAATAGTTCAAAAATATTTGTACATAGTGAGACAATACTGCAATACAATTTTAATAGAGGTAGCAAAAGGCAAGCGCAAGTCCAAGTTGAGCCCACCGACAGTGAGCCTACAACAATAACTCAAGGTCTACTCCTGGTGGCTATTATTTAGCAAGATGAACTTGCCACAACAATAATAGAACTCAACAAGCTCACTTGCAACATTAGATCGAGAATAAACCTTAGGGTCTGTATGGATGTAGATAATTGAGAGGGTTGGAATTGAATTGGGTTCAATGCCAAAGCAGCCATAGTATTGAAATAGCCACAATTCAAATATTATTGTTTGGATGACTATTGAATTGGATTTTGGAATACTAGCAAGTAGCTCAAATCCGATTCTTGTTTGGATGCAAAAGCATGCAATTGAAACTCTCTCACGCGCCGTTAGGACAGACTCGTCGTCGGTGTCCATGGCAGGCCGGGCTCAACCTTGGGTGGGAGATCGACGGCAGCACCCATGTCGGGCAGAGGTCGACCGTGGAGGAAGCTCGACGACAGCGTCCATGAAAAGCGGGGATGATCTCAATGGCACCGGAGGGGGGGGACTCCACCGTGGCCATGGGGGGAGCTCAACCCTGTCCATGGCGGGCGGACCTCGGAGCCACGACCATGGGGGATCTCGACCCTGGCCAAAGGAGAGTGAGAGGGAGGGCATCTACGATGCCGCCATCCTCCCGGGGTCACCTCCCATCTTTGTCGGCGGCTTTTTTATGGACGCGTCACGTGGGGAAGAAAGCAGAGTGTCCGACTCATATGAATATAGAGGGGGTGGCGTCGGTATTATGCGCGAGGTTGAGTAGGCAGCCCGAATGTCACCTGGTATTGGAGCCTGTTTCCACAAACCAATACCAAGGCCATCCAAACAATGGAGCTAGGGGCTATCAATGCCAATTCCAAATTCTGAGCCTCAATACCAACATCCAAACGAGCTGTTAAGTATTGAATTGTACTCTTGCAAGACTTACCCGACTAAATATAACATAATACTCCAAGAGTTTGCATGGCAATATGGTGGAGCTAGCCGCATAGCAAGACTTACCTGACTAAATATAACATAATACTCAAAGCCTTGCTTGTCTCAAGAGTTCTAACTAGCAACTTCCATTGCCGCCCCTCAGAAGTGTGGTTGACAATTCGGGATCGGTTGGAAAACAAGGTACATAGGCTTCCTGTGTCCCATATCCTCAGTATGTGTCTAGTATGTTCCACTTGACCAATGGTTCAGACAACGAATGGTCTTTACTCAACATAGGTGGGACAAAACAAATTAGGAAGTCATTGGTCAATTAGTCATTAACTTACTCTCAACCGGTCTCAGTTTATCAAAATCATGGTCCTCATCATTTTCCAACATAAGATATCCTATATCTCACGAGTGACAGCCCATCACTCATCTTCTATCGCGTCCCTAACATGGTAAAGCAATTAGAGAATCCTACACATGCTAGTTCCAAGATAAAATATCATATCATATGGACAAAGTAGATCATGCACCAACTTTGTTAAACAACCCTATAAACTTCAATGCACAATATATATAACATAAGGACGCATGTAAAGCGTTTAAAATATATAGGAGTTAGGATGCTATGGGCTTGCCTGGATAACTTGCTTAATACTTATTAAGTTAGTTTTCTTTAATCTTTAGGATATGCTCACTATACACCTCCATCTTTGGGAATTGACCACAGATCACTCCATCTTCTAGCTCCTTCACTTGCTCGTTCAATAGCTATTGTACCTAGATGATATGTAGTGATGCAATGCATGATTAATAAAAATTGCATAAATAATGGGGATGTTTTATAATGAGGAACATAACGAGTAACACGACGATGTGGGTGAGCTAGGCTCTTATCGTCATAAGGTTCCACTCTGGATCACCTTTATGTTACAACATACTTTTGCTTCCTTCTTTGCTCATTTTTTTCATGACCTTCTCCTTCTTCTTGGTCCTCTCTATGTAGACATGGAGATGGTCAAGGCTTGTTGAGTACCCCCATCCTCAAAATGATGCACACATGCTTATCTTGTTGGCATGTGCGTGGATGATTATGGGGGGGGGGTGCACTCTTCACTTGATGAGCTTTCTTCTTCATCGTCATCTCTCTCCTCTTCTTCACATGAGTTTGGTTCTTTCTGTCGTAGTTTGTTCTTGTATTAGTGGTTGCTTGTTTTTTTCCAAGATCTTGACACTTGGTGACGGTGGTGAAGAAGAGTTGTTTTTAATGCACACGCGAAGCTCATGGGCGATGATATTATTAATGACTTAGTTTGGCGTAATCTCATCAAGTTTCAACTTAGAGTAGCGTGCTTACTAGAACTCCTATGATATATGATCCTTTTCAAGGACACCTAGAATGCCACCAAATCTCATCGAGAGATGTGATGAACATCAAAGTAAAGAGGAAGTTAGGGCAAAAGGGTAGTTGTTGTGTTTTTGATGATTGAAGTTAGATTGCTCAATTGGCCATGATCCTCTCATTTATATTGAAGGGATTGGTCTTAGTCTAGTAGAAAACAAGTCTAAAATGCAATCTCAAAGCTTCCCACATTGAAAATAGATAAAAACTGATTTGGAAACAAATTGGTTTGGAATAGGTTGGAAAATTGGCCTTGCCATTTCCAAACCGTCCTAGCCATTTCTAAACTAGCCTGGTTGGTTTTCACAAGGCCAAGCATGGTGAAAGGTCCTAAATGGCTTGAGGGGGCTGAATAGCGTAAGTATCCAATACATCTCTCACAAGAATAGTCACCAAAGTATCAAGCCCCGGTGGTAGGCATCTCAAGAACCTATGAGAGAAGTCCTTGTCTTCCACTTTCTCACCCAAGCTCTTCAAATCATTGACAGTTGTTTGGAGCCTATAAAACATCTCTAGTATTGTTTCATCTTCCTTCATCTTGAATGATGTATACTTGTCATTGAGCATATATAGCTTGGCACTGTTCACCGCCTTGATGCCATCATATGACTCCTCCAATCTTGTCCACACATCATGAGCTCTCTCAAGATCCTTGATTTGCTCAAACACCTTTGAATCCAAAGCTTCATACAAGAGCTTAATAGCAATGTCATTGTGTTGAAGTTTCTCTTCTTCTCTTGCGGTTGGACTTGATGGATCAAGCACCGCAAAGTCCTTCTCCACAACTTCCCATATCTTTCTATTGATTGATTTCAAGTGTGCACACATCTTCCTCTTCCAATAATCATAGCTTGTGATGTCGAAGTGTGGTGGCTTTCCCATATGGTTGATTTGAGCCATTTTGATACCGTAGGTTGTTAAGCCTCAAATGACGGTTGTTGGTATTTATTAACGCAAATAGAATATGAAGGATTCTGTAAGCGCACAGAATACCATTGTAGCATTTTACCCGGAGTATTCCAGGTATCGTTATTTATATTTCACCATAGGGAAACAATTGAGTAAAGATTATTGAATATCAAAGGAGTATCTATCAGTCAACATACCATCATAGCTAGAGCAAGGGGTAAAGGTAATGATAGAAATTAAGCATAATGACACTCAGGGGATGGATCACTAAGATATTGTAAACTAGTTAACTTAGGAGAACAACAGGTGATGTAGATTCATATGATA